TTTTTTTTTTTTTTTTTTTTTTTTTTTTTTTTTTTTTTTGCGCAAAATTTATGACTTTACTTTCCCGCCAAAACTTTTAAAGCCAGGAAAAAAGTAGACATAAAATCGTAAGAACATGGTATTGTATATTATGATGAAACTTCGATCATTTAAAACGTCTGGAGGAAAATGGTAGGGCTTTTGTAATTCCTATTAATTCTAGTTATTTTTGAGCTAACTCATTTGATTTAGCATTTTTGAAGTTACCGTATTTTAGATATCGATTTAAGTGATGTGGCTCGACCAGTTTTCAAAGTAGTGGGTACTTGAATTGAAACGGTTATAAATCCTGTTACAGACTTAAATTGAACATGATTTTTCGTTTACTACGCTGAAACCAAACTTTACACTGATAATAGCTATAGTTTGTTTGAAATTGGAGTTTTCCTAGCATAGAATTAGGATGTCCTTGACTTTATGTACTTATTGACTGAGTGGGAGGGCCGTACGGGAAAATATTTGGCTTGAGGTGATGCCGTGCAAATGACCGAGTGCCAAATATTTTCGCGTACGGCCCAACCTAACTCAGTCAATAAGCATTTTATCATATGACCCTAGATTAAGAAGATACTTAATTTAAAGTTGCAAATTATATGTCAATACGGTCGCACGTTTCAAGCAGGGCCGTACGGATTCTTACGACCCTGCTCGCTCAAAGCCGAACGGCCCTGCTCATGCCATTTTCCCGAAGCGGGTTTTTTTAAGAGCGCGCGCCAGGGCAGATACGGATCATATGATGATGTGTATTACGCCAATATCTCGAATCTTATCTTGAATCTTATCTCGAAATCCAGACTTTTTGCATGGATACCTCGTTTGAAAAATGCAAATGCGTACTCTTCGCTGCACAACTTGCCCTTGCTTTTCTCTAAGGCGCGATTAMACAGAGTAATTTTCTCTGTAGCTTGCTTCGCAACGGCGTTGCGACACAGGTTGCAAAAGTGTTTACACTTTGCAATGGAGACGCAATCGTCATTGCCAAAAGTAGAAACGAATTCTAATTTTCGCAAAGACTGCTACAATTCGTCTCACAACATTTTTTCAAATTGCGCAGCTCTGCAGTGTTCAATGCAACTTGTGTTGCAACGCAGACATTGTGAGACAAGTTGCAGGGAAAAATTCTTAGTGTAATCGCGTTTTAGCTTAAAATTACATCATTTTCCGTTAGTTGTAAAGAAACATCTGACCATGTCGGCAATTTAAGTAGAGAAGATTTAATTTTCCAGTGAAAGATTAGAAACTTTACATCATCTATTATTTTTCTCGGTATGTAAACGCACGAAGATCAGTATCCCGACATAAACAGCATTTTTAAAATGCAACATTCCCAGCCTTGAATCCGTCTTGCATGTTGTCCTTGAAGGCATTTTTACTAGCTCAGTAGTTGTAGTAATCAGTAGCTTGGGAGTAATACGTAATCTGCTAATTCATAACATGGATATTAAAATTTCTATCTGAGGTGAGTTGTGACGTGCAGCAGTGAATCGATTTTCACTCTCACGTGCTAGTTTCACTATGATGAGGTTTTCAAGTTTTTGAAGCTGTGAAGAAAACGATTGGCTAATATTTTTTCATTATCATCCATCTTCCCTCTTCCCCATCATTAGTTGTAGTTGCTGTTATAGTTTTTGCATTTTTTTTATTTCTCAGTTGATTTTTTTTAGTATTTAAGAAAAACTCCGCGAAAGTAGTTTTTGACCTTTTCCAAATTAACAATTTGAGCAATATTGTTGTGTTTGACATGCAGTGTAAATTTATTCCCAAGGAGAAGATTTTCTGTCAGCAATTTTCCCCTTTCAACATGTTTACCACCAAAACCTGACTTTTTTTTGCTTGATTCCAAGCAAATTAAACTCCAGACCTTCAACCATCTCTGCTCACCAGACTGCCTACCCTGCTAGCCGAAGTCCGTTTACAACATTAACCTTAGCTTAGCTTTAGCTTGTTTTATGGACTCTATATAGTGTGTGATATATATGAGCAGTGACATTTGCAAACCGCAGGTACAAGAAAATGTGTGAAGTATGATTAAATTTTGAATTTTATTTCATCTCTTTAAATCAACTATTTCATTTTGACGTATTCATTAAAGAGTATGGACAAAAGGCCAAATCAACGTGACGTTTTCAAAATTACTCATTTCATGGGCACAAAATGAATCCAAAATTCTGACCACTTCTCAACCTCGGAACCCACATGAGTCTGTTTGTTCTCAGAAACACAACTTACAAAATGATCATTCAATATTTATATAAATAGCCAATGTTTTGTTCTTGTTTGAAATAATGAGATGGCTTAAGCTGATCGAAATTGTAAAAAAGGCAAAACAACAATGCGACGAATGAATATTTAATTCATTTCCCCTCAGTTTTTTTTTTCTTTCTTTTGTTTCATATAAAGTTTTATACTACTAAAAAATTTAGAGTTACGCAGTAATTAAATGTATAATAATTTCCTTTATTCGAGCATTGAATTGTCTTATTGTAAAGTTGAACCGATGGCAAGCTTCGAGTCATTTGTGGCTTGTGTGTGTGGAGGTTCGGCCAAGGTCATTTTACTCGTATCTGAAAGAAAATTATTTTACGAGAACCCAAGCACGTCAAGCTTGAATGAAATAAAGATTCACGAAGGATTTTCTTGGTATTTTTTACTCTGTACATTCAAAAATAGGTCTTATGAAGTATTTACGAGTTTTTTTCAGAGCGGATAAACCTACTAGATGTCCCCGAGATAACGGCTGGTTGTAGTAAGCAAATTAATTCATTGATTCACCGCGAGTGGCGTAGTATTCATTGACGCCAAGGATAGAACGTGAATGAAATGTTACCCAAAACTATGTCCACGATTAGCTTTTATCATCTCTTTAGCATCTCTTTCTTGCCAACAAATACTATTTCTTACTTTCGTAGAAGAAATGTCGATTTCGGTGAAAAATAAATCTTGGCGAGAGGGAAAAAATCTGCAATTTTATGTAAGACTTCTGGCACTAATGCTGTTGAAAAATGAAGCGGAATTCAAAATAGTAGAGTTCAAGAATTAAAACACCTGTTAAAAATGTATGAAACTACTAATGAATGTGCTCGTAACAAGCCAAAATTCATTCAAGTCAAAAGTAGGAATTACGTTGTACGAAGTTTTGTTATTTAAGTTTCGAGAGTTCGCTTACAATAAACGGGTGCGTACAAGAAGAGTATGATTTCTAGTAAAATAATGTTGGCATCAAAGGAGCACTTGATTTTTCTCAGTATTCGAGAACGTCAAACGCAAAAATGTAAAAAACAAACAAGTTTTTGCAGCTATTAATTATCCAATAACTAGGTTTACAACTAGGGGGTAAATTATAAAATAGTCATGGTCATTTATACAAACATTCAGGAAAAAAAAAGCTTGATGTCTCACGCATAGCAAAATTACTTAGTTAATAACTTTTTAAATGTCGATGACAGTGGAGTAATCAATTGAATCAGCCATAATTGATGCTAATAGAATTTGTTTCAACTCAAGGCAACGGTTTACTGAGCCATTTTTGATATCGTATAACCGGCTTTAAATATTACGGGTATTTTCCTTTAACCAAGAAATTGATATTCGTAGGCCAGATGTGAGGTCTCCTTTGTTTAAGCCTGTTCAAATTTACCGAGTTTGCATCGAAAAGCGGAAAAATATACTAGAAAACCGCAAGGTTACCAATAACTGACTATCAGAATGGATGCCCATTTACGGGCATATATTGAAGTATTCCACAGTAAATCTTTATACAAGTAATTTCATTATAAACTTGAAAAAATCAAAAAGTTTTCAGCTAAGTAAAATTGAAAATATTTGAAAAAAACTGATGTTAAAACAATGGACATCAATTATTAAAACACATCAAAAATAATCGAAAAAACTAATATCCAAAATAGCGCTGTGGACGTTAAAATAAAATGAAATATTTTTCAACAAAGAAATAAATAATTGTAAAATTTATTTTTCGCAATTTAAAAAGTCGTGAATCTTAAACTGACCTCGAGTACAGTCTTGGCCCTCGTACCCAGTCTCCAAACAATCACAGTCGGTTATCTTGCTACCACATCGCTCGCCATGCTTGCATTTCATAATATAGTCGTATGGACGAGTACATGATCGCTTGCAGTCCGCTGTTGTACCAGAAGTATTCTTCATAACGGCAGATGTGAAATGTCCATACGCATCGCTGTACTTGACGCCACTGATGCAACCTATGAATCTGAGACAGCACGGGATAGCGTTAATTCGGATGCAATCTGCACTATCTGCTTGGATTGCAATCAACATTCAGCCCCATTTTATTGATCTCCGTCTTTGGCTGTCCAACAGTTAAGCTATCCATTATTCATATAAAAATCAAGCTTTTTGAGAATCAATAATTTATGCTTCATGCTTGTTAAGGTCATTCTACTCTTTTCACTAAAACAAATTCATTATATATTGTATTACCAAATACCAACACCAACAATGCAGATTTAACAAAAGCACTAATAATTTTGCATTCCAATACACCTATAAAAACAACCTACCAAAATGCAACCCCAAATCTAAAAGTGCGAGTATCCGTTGAATCAATCTGCTATGCAAGAATAACATTTTCCCGACTTCAGCCCAATGATCGCCAATACCGTGGTTCAAATAAGCAATTTATTTTCTTTATAGTATCTAAACTGGTACGTTTGCACGGAGGTGCATACTCGCGTTTAATATGCCAGGTGGGTTGTCATTTCAAATAATTTTGGCTGTTTCTGCCTTTAGTCTTTGCAACCTTTGCTCGACAAGCTAGACATGATAAGGATATTTCAGCTATAGGTTGCAGGTGAATGATTACCTGTTGCCGTTATAAATTTCGTAGAATGAACCAGGAAAGGCCAATGAATTAAGCGATATATCCATAGGAAATCCCCCAACGTACAAAGAGCTCTGTGCGCTGAAAGAAGAATGTTTAGCCCCACATTTTATGATTTTAGACGCGTGGTGATCCACTTTGAAATGAGTGCTTTCAAACGCTCTAAAAACACGCACACGATGCCATTCATTATCCGAAAAGTTTCCATCAATAAATTCTTGCTGTAGAGTACATTGTCCAATGTGTAGCCTCATTCTAACTCTTCCATTGACCAAGAATATATCAATGAAGTCCATACCGTTAGGGTCATCTTCGTATATAAGAAAGCCATTCTCCTTTCTTGTTTTGAACTCAAATAGCAATGTTCCGTTAGTTGAAGCGTCCCAGCGTTCATATATAGCATGCGCTACTATGTTATTGAACCTCAAAGCATGAATGAAGTGTCCACCAGCGAGAAGACATAGCAGTAGAAAGGCTAGCAACCTTTTCATGGTTCGACATCAGTTCCGACAAGTCGCCATGAGAGGCATAGAATTCATGATCATTTGCAGACGATGCAGTACGTACGCTGAACACTGTTCGTATTCCTTCATCGCATCAGACGGGCTTTACACTCGTTCGCCAGTACTGAAGGTTGAATGCGTCATCGACAGGCCAGGCTTTCTTATCACTGGCGCCTTTGTATACGATTGGTTTTAGCTTTTGGCTTATCACGGTCAAGGCAAATTACGAGCACATAAAGATCCACAACACATGCGCAAACCTATTTCTATACGATGTACTTCAAATCACACATTCCTTGGTATATGTACATGGGTTTACAAATACGATGAATGAATACAGACAACCAATCATGCTCCGCGCAACTGCTCCACCCAGTATGATGTTGTTAAACTGGATTCCGTGACGTTCTAAATTCATCCACAGGAAAGCACAATTCTTATTTTTCAGATGTCAATGAAATAAACTGCGGCGCTTAGTTTTTATTGTCTAGCTGTATCTGCAGTGAACTATCGTTTTTTCCCCTCCTCATTTGAAATTTAATACACACCATCTGGTAATGATGCGTAATCGCACTGATTTCTGTTGTACGTTTAGGTTGGTGTGAATGAAACACCCATTGATTGTTCTGTCATGCTTTACGCCCACGCTTTTGTCAGGTTTTCCTGCAGTCAGAGTTTCATTGACACGACAGAAAAATTTATATATTTGAAATTACTGACTGAAAACCAAAAAATCTTTTGATGGTAATTTACAGATCAGTAGCCCTCAAACTTCGAATAACCAGACTACTTTTCTTTCGTTATTAAACACTTAACATGGACAAATGGACAAATGAATGGACTCGTCAGTAAATCGATTGGTGCACCCCAAAAATTTAGTTTTACATCCAAAACCTTTATTGGCATGCTCTTTTGGAAAATGTTCCGGCTTCTGCCCGCATCTCCGCATTCTTCTTATGATAAAAGGTAAGGGTAAATAAGTACTTAGCTAATCAACGATTTGAATAAACATTGCTAATAATTTCAGTCCTTTCAAGTCATACAGAGCTATCATTATTTGGACGTGGAAAATAAAGTTGAGCTCTGTTTAGATGAGAGATCAGTCATGATTTTTTAAACGCTACAAATTGTCTGCTAGAATGAGATTTACAAATTTATTTTTTGCCGTGYGTTTTATGAGGTGACCTCAAACCACAAACTTGAACATCTGGAAGGTGATTGGCTATTTCAATAGTGTTTGCCTGACATCTTGACATCAAATTCAGTGAATTAATCATAGGGTTTGAAAATCGAAGATCATGCTCACATATTCAAAGATCTGTAGACTCATTCATTCAAACACCTCAGGTTAATCCATTCCTCATTGATAATTTGGATTATTATTATTAGTTTAGTATATCCTGCGAATTGTATTGAGCAATATGCTGTGTGTGCGTTTCCTTCAAGGTGAAAATTGTATTTTWAAATTCTTATCCAAGTGGATCAAAATATTCTTTACAAAAAATTTTTCACTAGTCACATGACTCTTTCCAGGTCACATCTGCGGTTGTTTGGATTCGGATCCATGTTGCCTCCTCTGAGGCAACTCTCATCTAAACCGGGAATGGGGTTCCTGTAGAGATTTCGAGGTGCGAGGTCGGTCATTCCACAGGACACCCAATTTCTTTCTTGAATTGACCGTTTTCGAATTAGTCCAATGATGCTGTGATTCTTGATTACAGACTCATTTATCATACTTAGGGTTAGCCTCATTTCAGTGCCTAAATACTCACAAATACCGTAAAGAAAATAATTTACAACTTCAACAATGGAAACACTTTGAAATTCCACGGAACTTCACTGGAACACATCCAACTTCAACTCTCGCTTATTATTTTTTCTGTTGCCCTACTTTGATACAATATTCTAAACAAAATCCAGGCTGACCCTTAGCAACAGAGAACTTGAACATTGCCGGAGCCTTTCCGTTTTAGAAAGTTGCGATTGCGAAGGACCCGGCCAAGTTGATTGGCTAGGATCCGGCCATGTTGGGTGAAAGTAGTCTCCTCCGCAGGCGTCTTTCGTCTTTCTTTTCTTTTTTGTGGAAGGAAGCCCAATATTCAAAAGGAAAGAATAGACAAGAGAGACGCATGCGGAGGAGGCTAGGGTGAAAGAACGTTGCCACTTATTATTTTGTACAGTGCACGTGGTCGACATGTCTGAGGCCCACGTATAGACAATGAGGCAAATCGTGAAATGAATAAAGAAGGGCTAGTGGTGGTCAATATCTGGTGCATTTATATTTGTTTATTTTGAAATAAAAATCAAGCAAAGATACACATTTGAATAAGGTAACTGACGGTTTTAACAAAAATCAATGAAGTCAAAAAATGAAAATATTGAACTTGCAGCTATCTATGCTGCTTTAATTTGCACTAGAGGAGTTTGCACCGACCAACACGCGATTACAGAAGGCAGAAAGAGTTGAATCGATATCTGGTCTAATCTGGTTTACTTGAGAAAGAACTCAGTTTTCCAGGGGGAAAAGACTATAATGTTGTCCCATACGGTTAACCTTCTTCCTTTCTCCCTCCACTCTTTCCTCACGCTTCCTTGTTTTCTGTCCCTCTAGTTTTATTACCCTTCAACCCTTCAACCCTCACCTTCCCCCTTTCTCCCTCCACTCTTTCCTCACGCTTCCTTATTCTCCGTCCCTCTAGTTTTATCCCCCCTCAACCCTTCGACCCTGACCTCCCCTTCTCTCTCTTTCCTTCCCATCTTCTATTTCTTTCGCCTGGCCTGCCTTCGCCCTTGATTTGAAATAGTAATAGACCCCTTGCACTGAGTCCCGAAACAGATTGTTCTGGGGGACAAAACAATGGATATTTTGGTATTTTGTTTTGCATAAGAAAAGAAGGCATTGTCTTGTCCCCATGAATTAACACAGTTCTTCTAGGAAATCAATGCCAGGGGTCTATAACACTCTAATTTGAATACTCTTCTAGTCTAGATTCTGCCAAACATTAAAGATTAAGAGCTGCTTCTAGCGGCTTTAGGTACATCAAACTTAACAGTCTTAGTTGTACCCCTTTGATCTGAATCACTATATTTAACTATTGCCTCTTGGTCGCCTTTTGGTGGACATTTATCAAGACAATTCCCAGTCGTGTTGCCAGGGATGTCAGCATTGCTGTTAGCATTAGCATCACGAAGTCCTTCGCTTTTATTTTCGACATTTTGCTTATTATTATCGTCTTCATTGTTACCCTTGTCTGGATCGTTCGAATTCACTTCTGATGCAGCCGGTACGTAGTTTTTGGGCGGGAACTTAAAGTCTCTTGCAGTGAATATTCCCAAGACACACCCTGCGTAGACTAAAGGCGTTCTATACCCTTGAGCCACCGCACGCCTCGCAGCAGCTACACATTCAAGTGCAGCTGAGAACTGTGCACTCTCCATAGACCGCTGACCAGTCTTACAGTATGTGGCGAAATCTTCACAGTTGTTTCCAACGATGTTGTAGTGACTGAAACCCTCAGTGATACCTCTCTTAGCTCTTTGTATTACTAACTCCGGGGCGTCGCATGGTTTGAATGTATAAGTACCTGAAGAAAGAAAAAAACCATGGATAATACTAGGTTTTTAGTAAACCATGCCTTTGCATGCATGAAAGCTGCAAAACGACACGCGACGACATCGAGAATAGAGCAGTTTTCGTATGACTGTGAAAAGCTCACGGCACGAGCACGGTCCTAACACGGCAAGGCATACCCAAGACCAATCACACTGCACGATAATTTACTCTTTACCCAATCAATCGAATGTCCGAACACGGCGTTGACCCGGTCACGCCAATGTCACGGCACTGTCCGACCAATCACATTGCGCGAGAAAAAAATCCCCCAATTAAAAGTCTAGAAAACACCACGTTTTTACATCATACGAAAACTGCTCTAAAGTATAAATCAAATCACATTTATCCTTCGAATCCGAAATTCAGCTGGTTAATAAGGCTTTATGGATAGAGAAAATCCAGAGAACCCGAAATAAACCCTCCTAACAAACTGTACTAAAATGTTAGAGGTTAGAGGCAAGTGCACAAAAATACAATACCTTCCGTTATCGTTTAAATATAGACTCGCTACACACCTTTAGGATAGAGCTTAGCATTATCCTCACTTATCCCATATCTATAAAGACAAAGATCCTTGTCCTGGTTCAGGAAGGCTTCCAAGTCACTTTCTATCRCACGGCATGTAGACGGATCAGGGTAACCCTTCTCCATGGGGGTCTGGTAATGAATCACTTTGTCGTTACCCACATAGATACCTTTAATACAACAACATGTGAATAGATGCATTGTATCTCTGACCAATTAGAAATGGACCAAATATATCCAAAAAGGACTGAGTTATATTTTACCACTTCAGACCACTTGTACTCAGTGGAAAATATGATTCTTTGTTTGAGTTGTACCCATATTCATTTATCTTCTCATACGCAACAGTTAAACAACAACAACAACAACAACAACAACAACMACAAATGATACTCTAGGGAATGACAGGTGGTCTGAAATGGGAAAACATTACATCCGAGTGGAATTGGTCTTGTTAGGATCCATTACATTGAAGAGAAGAGAGAGAAAACCCATGCTAAAAAGAAGTAACAGATATTAGAGTTACAAACTACTGCCTTTAAATAATTAATGCGTTTGGGTAAGTTTCAATACATTTCATTCTATTTACCCAAATACCTTTGACTTGAAGCGATTGTTTGAAGGCAAAGTAGTGTAACTATAATATCTGCTTTTAGATATAAGATTGTAACAATAAATGCACCACGTACAAAAACGCGTTAAATCTTATATGGAAATTTAGCCTACGTTGCTAATGGCAATCAGGCCGCCTAACAGATCTTGTTTGACTGAATAAAGGCACCACAAAAAACAGGTTAAATCTTATATGGAAATCAGGCCTAACAGATCTTGTTTGACTATGAAAAACATGGAGGATAGAGATTTGTTATGGCGTACCATGCCGTATCTTGAATAATAGCAGCCGTTGTTGGTTATCGGCTTTGGTCAGCAAATTTCAGTGCCGTAACCGTGTTGTAACCTTCAGTGTCAAGCCGCATAGTAGACGATTGCCAAGTTATCCAGGCAAAGCCTTTGTTGGTTTTATATAGTAAACCACAGGGATACCGTACTAAATATCAATTCCTAATGCAAATTGGTATCATTCCAATTGAATTAACAGCGACCCTATTCATGAAACAGAAACAAGTGAAATTTGCCAGTCTCTTCCGCAGGGAAAAACATCCTAAAGAATATACATCTTATAGATCGGCAATGATTTCTATTGTAGAAATCAAGATTCGTAGCTGGTCGATTTTCGCACTTTAAAATAATTCATTTCGTATGAAGTTGTTTATCGGTTATTTATTAATTATATGATTTTTTCACATCATCCATCAAGGGTCCGGGTTTCTGATACCAGATATATTTTATCACTGACTGGTTTACCCTGACATTTTTTTAGCTTAATTTATGTAAGTTTATTTAAACGTCAATTTGTTTGGTAGGTTCAGTATGAAAAAATTGACAGAATTAAATGAAGAATTGACGTTTTGCATATATTTTAATTTAATTCAAACAACTACTTTTAACAATACTTACCGTGGTGCGAGTAGTGGATGGATCTTTGGATGAATATGTGGTCTCCTGGTAAGAGCGAGTCGACCTTTCTTTTCTCCATCCTGAGCTAAAAATCCTGTATAATTTGTACAGTAAAATCATGTAGAAAGAGCTGTTCAAATCCACTGTTTAACGCCAAGAAGCTATATCCAAAGCTGTATACTAACCAGCCAGAAAAACTAATGTGGTAAAACCACCAGTTGGAGTTTTAGGCCACTTGCCAAAATGTTGTTGCCATGGAAACACCGAGTTTTCAATATTTACAATTGTCTCATGAATAATTCATGATCCAAAGAACGTGAATCACAGGAATCGATATAGGTCTTTTCTCATCGTTCTTTTTTAATCACAAGTTTGATTTCAGACGTAAATTGCACGACAGGAATTCCAATCAGCACTGAAATATATCCATTTTGAAATCTCCTGCATTAATGCTAAATTTAAAATATGATTTTAATGTGAAATGGTTCGATTTCTAATTAATCACACTGTTTTTCTGGAGCGCTTGAAAACCCATTTGGTAAATTCCGTTTTGTTTAATAACTGTATTGAGTACGGTTGTTGTGTGATACTAAATAAAACTATGGAAGTTGATTATTATGATAATGGCGAAAAGTTAAGAAAAGACGAAAAAAAGCCAAGGGCATTAAAGAGTGTAACAGTTTTGAATAGCTACGAAGTCTTGCGATATTTAAAACCAAAAAAGCAGCAAGAATTTCAAGATCGTCTTTTTCCATGACAAAACAAAATGAGAAAAAGCTTGAAACTTAATACTGCTTGTTGCAGTCGACCATATATTTACATACCATGTACGCTAATACGCATGCCCATTGCAGAAACCGCTGCTCAGAAATAACATTTTTTCACAAAATCGCAGCAGATYGCGCGAAAATCGCAACTCAAAAACATTTCCTTATAACATGACACCACAGAAACCAAGCTTGGGCTACCTGTGCTCAAATCGCCGCCAGAATTGCAGTGGAAATCGCGCTGCAAATCAAGGGAGTACATTAAGGTGACTGCCTACTTTTGGAAATTGAGTTAAGCTTTTTTTTAAACTTCGA